CACTTTTACTTGAATCCCTTTCATTCCATCGCCGTCCGCTTTTAAAGACAAACGTAAACATTTGCCCGTAGCTCGTGAAACCGAACGCCCGTTGTTACCGGTGCACAAAGTGGCAAAGCGGATGACGACATCCACGCGGGTCTGTGTTGCTCTGTTTACACACACGCGTGTGATTTTATACACGCGCGTGTGATTTGTAGACGCGCGCGTGATTTGTACACGCGCGCGTGATGTGTACACCCGCGCGTGATTTGTACACGCGCGCGCGTGGGTTTACGCGGAGGGTGAATCGTCTTTATTCAGGCGCTGCATTGATAGCGTCGTATATGTTCGGCCAAAACATTCAGAGGCTCTGTACTTCCATCTAGTGGCTATAATGGTAATATTTAAATCACAAGTGGCAGCATTCATGAGGTAATTAATTAATGAAATAGATAGATATTAATAATGGGGGGGGGGGGGGGACTCCATTATTATGTTATGGTATGTGTTATGTAAATTCCATTCCCAAATGTAATATAATTCAAATGTAATGGTATCGCGAATTATCTGAGCAGTCCTGGCTACATGAATGGGCTAATAATAACTTACATAGAGCAGATACGTAAATTCATAATGATCACATTCTTAATAATCATAATCGCCGTTGTAAACATTACAGCTGGCACGGCATGTGATCGCCTCTCCGAACACGAACCAGCTTTCATAAATGTTGCAGGCGTTTTGCCGCAAGGTCACGCAAATGATATCTCGTCCTGCCTCCGGGTTGACAGCTTCAAACACAAGGCACAAATATCCCCTTGGTTTGGGGCTTGCGGAATCCATTTGGCACAGGAGGGGCCAAAGACGGTGGAATTGCTATTTTGTAATTTGGGCTAGGGTCCAGGCAATGTCTAATGCTTTACGGTATTTTAGAGACGGTGGGTCATGTGTCACCAGTAATATTCACCACTATCGCTGAGTGCCCACAGCAGCTATGAATTGTAATGATGATTGGCAAATGTAGCGGTGTTTATCTTGAGCATGTTTTGTAACCGTAGCCAAACTTGACAGGCGCTTGCCGACAACTGCGCTTGAACCAGCGGTATATAAGTTCAAATTTGTGTTTGAAACTATGCACAGTATGCTAAATCAAGACAATGTCAAAATTTGACACGTTATACCTATAGGTAATTAGTCCACGTACAGTGAGGGAAAAAAGTATTTGATCCCCTGCTGATTTTGTACGTTTGCCCACTGACAAAGAAATGATCAGTCTATAATTTTAATGGTAGGTTTATTTGAACAGCGAGAGAGAGAATAACAACAAAAATCCAGAAAAACGCTTGTCAAAAATGTTATAAATTGAATTGCATTTTAATGAGGGAAATAAGTATTTGACACCCTCTCAATCAGAAAGATTTTTGGCTCCCAGGTGTCTTTTATACAGGTAACGAGCTGAGATTAGGAGCACACTCTTAAAGGGAGTGCTCCTAATCTCAGCTTGTTACCTGTATAAAAGACACCTGTCCACAGAAGCAATCAATCAGATTCCAAACTCTCCACCATGGCCAAGGCCAAAGAGCTCTCCAAGGGTGTCAGGGACAAGATTGTAGACCTACACAAGGCTGAAATGGGCTACAAGACCATTGCCAAGCAGCTTGGTGAGAAAGTGACAACAGTTGGTGCGATTATTCGCAAATGGAAGAAACACAACAGAACTGTCAATCTCCCTCGGCCTGGGGCTCCATGCAAGATCTCACCTCGTGGAGTTGGAATGATCATGAGAACAGTGATGAATCAGCCCAGAACTACACGGGAGAATCTTGTCAATGATCTCAAGGCAGCTGGGACCATAGTCACCAAGAAAACAATTGGTAACACTACGCCGTGAAGGACTGAAATCCTGCAGCACCCGCAAGGTCCCCCTGCTCAAGAAAGCACATATACATGCCCGTCTGAAGTTTGCCAATGAACATCTGAATGATTCAGAGGACAACTGGGTGAAAGTGTTGTGGTCAGATGAGACCAAAATTGAGCTCTTTGGCATCAACTCAACTCGCCGTGTTTGGAGGAGGAGGAATGCTGCCTATGACCCCAAGAACACCATCCCCACCGTCAAACATGGAGGTGGAAACATTATGCTTTTGGGGTGTTTTTTCTGCTAAGGGGACAGGACAACGTCACCACATCAAAGGGACGATGGACGGGGCCATGTACCGTCAAATCTTGGGTGAGAACCTCCTTCCCTCAGCCAGGGCATTTAAAATGGGTCGTGGATGGGTATTCCAGCATGGCAATGGCCCAAAACACACGGCCAAGGCAACAAAGGAGTGGCTCAAGAAGAAGCACATTAAGGTCCTGGAGTGGCCTAGCCACTCTCCAGACCTTAATCCCATAGAAAATCTGTGGAGGGAGCTGAAGGTTCGAGTTGCCAAACGTCAGCCTCGAAACCTTAATGACTTGGAGAAGATCTGCAAAGAGGAGTGGGACAAAATCCCTCCTGAGATGTGTGGAAACCTGGTGGCCAACTGCAAGAAACGTCTGACCTCTGTGATTGCCAACAAGGGTTTTGCCACCAAGTACTAAGTCATGTTTTGCAGAGGGATCAAATACTTATTTCCCTCATTAAAATGCAAATGAATTTATAACATTTTTGACATGCATTTTTATGGATTTTGTTGTTGTTATTCTGTCTCTCACTGTTCAAATAAACCTACCATTAAAATTATAGACTGATAATTTCTTTGTCAGTGGGCAAACGTACAAAATCAGCAGGGGATCAAATACTTTTTACCCTCACTGTAAGAGCTGCACCAAAAATAATGTATTTTCTGTGACATGTCTCAGGAATATTCAATATGATCCTGGTGATATTTAAGTACTGCAACACAAAACAAATATATAATAACACGTAAGTTTTTCAGAAATAAACAAATTAACCCGATGCATTGTTTCTCCGCCAAACTTCTTAAAGGGGGATTAAACAAAGCTGGATTGTGAGACGAGGGTGAGTAATGAGCACACGTCAATAGCCACGTTGCACTGGCGACTTTGCAACAACAAATTTATTGTTGGGCAAAAGCGCCCCTACACTTTGATGTTATAGATTTCCTGAATACAATCGTGCCCCACCGTGTGTTGCTTTTTTATACATCATGTATTATACAGGTGTCAGCTCCTGACACGAGTATCTAAATTACATCTGACAAGAGAAAGATGGCACGGGATAAAGTAGGAATGAAATAGTAATCTTTTATCTCGTTGGAAATTGCACAGCAAAGAGTGTGTACTTTGTTTCATATATGTATTATATAAAACAAGATGGAACTATGTTCTGGTAGATATTCACACATGTACCTTATCTATAAATACGTACTATGTGTATTTGATGTGCATTGCGAGTAATTTTTATTAATAATCTGATGTGCACGTGGTAACGGGTGAAATGTAGCAAAGCACTCTACTCCAAATTGGGTTATGAGTTCAGATCCGTGTCTGGGGGTTTAAATCACAGTCGCACTCATCTCTCCACCAACCTTTCCCATATTATAAGTACTGGACTACCTTGTGGGAAGTTTACAGTTGTTGTCCTGAATAGACAATGCACTGTCATATAAATGTGGAAAATCCACCACTGACTCGGGATGGAATATGTATATGACCACTGTAAATTTGAAAATTATACTTTCACTTGAAAATATGGATTTCTAGAGAGCCAAACGCCCATTGAAGCAACACAAAGAGTGCGCGACATAGTGCTCCATAACTCTGCGGGGTACGTTGCAAAAACGTGGGTGGTGGAGTACTGCGTGGAAGTGGCAAGTGGCTGAGTGCTGAGTGAGTGACTGTGTGATGAGTGAGTGGCTGTGTGATGAGTGAGTGGCTGTGTGATGAGTGAGTGGCTGTGTGATGAGTGAGTGGCTGTGGGATGAGTGAGTGGCTGTGTGCTGAGTGAGTGGCTGTGTGCTAAGTGAGTGGCTCTGTGATGAGTGAGTGGCTGTGTGCTGAGTGAGTGGCTGTGTGATGAGTGAGTGGCTGTGTGATGAGTGACTGACTGTGTGATGAGTGAGTGGCTGTGTGATGAGTGAATGGCTGTGTGATGAGTGAGTGGCTGTGTGATGAGTGAGTGGCTGAGTGCTAAGTGGGTGGCTGTGTGATGAGTTAGAGGCTGTGTGATGAATGAGCGGCTGTGTGATGAGTGAGTGGTTGTGTGCTGAGTGAGTGGCTGTGTGATGAGTGAGTGGCTGTGTGATGAGTGAGTGGCTGTGTGATGAGTGAGTGGCTGTGTGCTAAGTGAGTGGCTGTGTGCTGAGTGAGTGACTGTGTAATGAGTGAGTGGCTGTGTGATGAGTGAGTGGCTGTATGATGAGTGAGTGGCTGTGTGCTGAGTAAATGGCTGTGTGATGAGTGAGTGGCTGTGCGATTAGTGAGTGGCTGTGTGATGAGTGAGCGGCTGAGTGCTGAGTGAGTGGCTGTGTGATGAGTGAGTGGCTGTGTGCAGAATGAGTGGCTGTGTGATGAGTGAGTGGCTGTGTGATGAGTGAGTGGCTGTGTGATGAGTGAGTGGCTGTCTGATGAGTGAGTGGCTGTGTGATGAGTGAGTGACTGAGTGCTTAGTGAGTGGCTGTGTGATGAGTGAGTGGCTGTGTGATGAGTGAGTGGCTGTGTGATGAGTGAGTGGCTGAGTACTGAGTGAGTATCTGTGTGCTGAGTGAGTGGCTGTGTGCTGAGTGAGTGGCTGTGTGATGAGTGAGTGGCTGTCTGATGAGTGAGTGGCTGTGTGATGAGTGAGTGGCTGAGTGCTAAGTGAGTGGCTGTGTGATGAGTTAGTGGCTGAGTGATGAGTGAGTGGCTGAGTGATGAGTGAGTGGCTGTGTGATGAGTGAGTGACTGTGTGATGAGTGAGTGGCTGTGTGATGAGTGAATGGCTGAGTGCTGAGTGGCTGTGTGATGAGTGAGTGGCTGAGTGCTAAGTGGGTGGTCGTGCGATGATTGAGTATCTGCGTGAGGCACGGTACCTGGAGTGGCATCTTTGGCGGGATCACACTCGACATTTGCAGAGCTGCGCCTCGAGGCACGTTTATAATTTCCTCCGCACTCCTCGGGAGCTGCCGCACCTCTTCCTCCACCTGTCTCTCCTCCTCCTCCCCCGGGGTCGTCCAGATGCCGGGCAGAGCAGTCGCAAGGCGCCTGTACGATCCCGCAGTGCAAAGCCGCATCGTCGAGCAAGGTGGGGCGACAGGGGCAGCCGGTCAGCCAGCCGCACACGAGCTGGCAGCCGCCCGCGCTGGGCGCCTCCGTAGCGAGGACCACGAATTCGAGCGAAACTCCCGGCCCGTCGGCGCCGCGCAGCGCGTTCGAGCTGGCGGCCTCGGTGCTCCCGTCCTCGGAGAAGAAGCGCAGCTGCAGGTAGCGCGCGTCCGTCTGGAAGTAGACGATGGCCGAGGGCACGTCGCACACGTCCCACACCTCGCGCAGAATATCCACGTCTTGGCTCGTGCGGTTGTCGAAGGGCTTCGAGTCAAACATGTACGCCAGCAGCTGGTGGGAGGAGCACGCCAACGCGTCCTTGGACAGCTTCACGAAGACGCCGTACTTGGCCGGGTCCGGGTTCGCTATTATCCATCCGCACCCCGAGCGGTCGTCGTGGTAATGCGAGGGATCCCTGCTGGTGAAGGAGCCGTAAAACGCCTTCTGGACAGAGCTCCAGCACTGGCGCTCGTCCCTGCGCTGGCCCCATCCGGCAAGCGAGTGGTAATTGACGAGGATGAACAGGGTCATGATACGTAACGTCGGCATTCTGGGTGGGCGCATCCAGCGTGCGCTAGTCTACAAGATGCAATGCAAAACGGGGGGGGGGGGGGTGCAAATGATTAACTTTAACCCGCTTCACAACACCCGTGCGTGTGAAAGTGGCATGCGTGGCAAAATGTGGAGCAGCGCGCGTGCTCAACGACAGCCAGCAGCAGCATGCTCCTGGCCCAGAATCAATTAAGGAACGCTTCCTGAACATCCCTAGCGTGGAGAGGAGGGGGCGGTGGTCCCTGCCGACTCTCTTTCTGGTTGAAGGGACCCACGCGCTGAACGTGCACAGTTGCCTCGTGCGTGATGGGACTACGCCTTAACCTCGACTTGGTTACATCCGGTTAGCATTTCGCACGTTGTGTGTTGGTGGGCATCGAATTGGGTTAGGCTGCGGGTGTGAACATACGGAATGATGCCGTGCATGTCTCATTGGGGGCTGCGACCTGTCTCTCTTTTGGTGGCCCTAACCCTCCTTTACTGGTGAAATGCAGATAACCGCCACTGCTGACTCTCCACAAAGTGAAACATGGCTCGATGGAATGCGTCAAACTTCAACCCACAAATTACACGTACTTGTATATATCCCCGCCTCTGTCCATCCCCCGGTATGAACGGGTACACCGTAGCTTAGTCGATTGGTAAGTCGAGTGTGTTGGGGTGGGGGGTAAAGTGTGAGTCCTCCCAACCTCTCCCAAGGCGACCGGCCAAGGTGGAGGAATAGGCCAAAAACACCTCCAGAGTGCCTCTCTAGTGGCCCTCTTAGAGCTGCTTGCAGTGGAGGACCTTCCACCAGCAGTGGCAGGCCTGCACCTTTTTTTAATGACTATACCCTGCATAGTCAAATGTGTATTCGTATTCACACTCAGTTCAAGTGGATTATCATCCAGATGGCTTGAGAACAGCACACCTTGACGGCGGCGCTTGCGCGCGTCTCGTTTGCAGTCGACTCGCCGTTTCGGCAATTGCGAGCGAGAGGGCGGCGTGCGGAAGAGGAGGGGGGTGGTAACCTTGGACAACGGCCTCTCGGACGTTCACAGAAACGAAGGCCGTTCAAAATGCGGGAGCTGGGGGTTAGGTTTTGGCGCGACTCGACGTCTCCACCTTGTGGCCGCCGTGAGCTGAAGACATTGACTTGGGGAGGGCTGGTCTGGGGAATGCGAAAGCGCCACGCGAGCCCGCAGTAAATGTCTCAATGCGAGGAGGCGTGGGCTGCCGCACTTGTGTCCAAATGAACAATTGCGCGTGCGTGTTGGGGTGGGGGGGGGGTTAAATACGGCAGCGGAAACGGCAACGTGTGAGTGCAAAACAAATTCACTGACATGGCGATATATAAACAAACACACAGGCGAAAAAACTCGGCACATTTCGTCAATAACACTGCCTTAAAAGCAATACTGTAAATCTAATGGAGAGACGTTTTGGGCAATTATTTATAGCATGGTCTCCAAACTCTTGTCTTCCTGGTCTCGCTATGTGCTATGCAGAAGATGCATTGCTCGAAACGTAGCCTATTATATTAGTTTACATTTTAAGCAGTGTCTGTTGGCAAATGTGGTATTTGTGTGTGTACCATTGCCAACAAAGTATCATATGTTGCCCATGCGTAAAAATGAACTTGGCCCGAACCGAGAGCGCAACTATTTGGGAATGCAATAGGATACTCGTTAAGACGAATGCCTTCCGAATATCTCTTATCAAAAGCTTCACTTTCCACACGCACACATTGCACATGCGTTTACCACAATGCGTCTTAGTTACGTGCGCATCTTTTGCAAGTTGCAAGTCTGTCCCACCTGTCTAGCAATGCATACAGCGTTGATTGGAAGAGGGTACATGTTTGTATTAATGGAAATGCATGTTCATCCATGCGAATACAACCACTGTGAATATAGCCGCCACTTTCAAAATGTGCGACGCTAATATAAACATTAATTCTGTAGGGTATAGCTAAAATCATGAAATCAGTCGCCACGTTGGTCATTTTGGCCGCGCAGCGCACGGATACACAGCGAGCATTGTGCACCATTGTATACTGCCTGCAAGATGTGTGCATAGTGCAGTGTATCTCATTTGTCCCTTTGATATACAATTACTCAAGCCGATGAAAACAAATCAAATAGCTAGGTCCATCGTGGATGCCACAAAGAAACAAATGTCTCTATGGTGATGGCATAAATAATGTAAATGACTTTATACTACATCGCTTCTCGGTAATAAAATTAATAGCGATAAAACACAGCCGCGGTCACACACACACACGCGCGCACACGCGCGTGTGAATTAAATTCGCAAGCTTTTGTCAGCCATACAATACGTCATCCTGCCTGGGTGAGATGTCCCCTGAACAGTTAACGCACAAAACAAAGTTGCTTAGCACAGCCACAACTAATTTTCACTGCACGTCCGTATTCATAATCCAGAGGCGCAGCACGCGGAATTTGAGCATCCTCGTCGTGAGCAGTCCCTGAGCGGAGCGGCGAATGCTTAATGTGACTATACGCGACCGTTCCTCTCTGCTAATAGCGCTTCCATTGCACGTGATGGACAAGTTGGCTAATTGCGTGCTTTGGGGAGGATTTCCGCAACGCGTTAGAGTGCCGGCGCTCATACTAATTACATCCAGAGCAGAAACGGAAGACCACGCGTTTGCGTTCTTCTATATGTTTTAGGGCCGAGAGTGCCGTTGCCCAGTGGTAATTGCTTTAGAGTTTTGAGTACCGTCAATCTGGCATCGAGAATGCAACGTGGGTGTGTGCATATCATTCGGACGGGTAGCGCTACGGTTGGAGTCCTGACTCACAATAGGAATGTCGCAAATTCAAATCGCGGTCCGGATGTTGGGGGTGGGTCAGCTCAGCCCCAACAGTGGGTGCCCTCTTGAGAGACTGTCTCACCCCCCCCCCACGCCCCCGTCATGGGAATGTGGAATTTCCGCCAACTGACAGTACCGCGACAATGCTCATTTGAGCCGAGGCACACGTTGAAAGGCAAAGTTCCCACGGGGGTAGGCTGCAGCCTGGCCTTATGTATATGAGTAATTAGAATTATAAGAGTCCCTCCCCCCCCCCTTTCGTCGTTGAATGCCACGGAGTGATCGTCCCGTGCAGAATGCGCCATACGTGCTCGGCATGTATAATCCGCGCCGGGCCCGCTCAGTGTATTTAAAAGCCATCATTACAGCTGAGTAGACTCGGAGCTGAATGCAGAGCGCGGCATGCCGACCACGTAACGGCCGATTTTTGGGAGCCACGGCCCCCTTTGTCATTCCCCGTCTCTCTCTCTCTATAGAGTAACAGCCTGGGGCCGTGTCCTCCTGGTTGCCAAGCGGCCGCTAAGTGAATACGCATAATGTTTCAAGCAGCAACGGGCAAGCAGACAGGCGAATCTGCATGAGACCCCGAGGCGGCCACGTTATTATGCCCGCCTGCGCGCGCAAAAAAAGTGACTGAAATATCCAGAATGTCCGTGCGCTGCATAAACCCTCCGTCCGTGCGCTCTAACGCGCCGACAACTTTGCGCCGTCTGCTAATTAACGGCGGCGGCAGTGAACTCGTGGATGCCTTTAAAGGATTTTTTTTAAGGATTAGCGGGTACCAATGCCGACGTGTTTTCGCCTGCGGCTTATACACCACGCGTATGCTCACGTTTCCATGCGCACATACGCAAGTGGAGTGGTGCGCCCCTGAACACATGAGCGCACCACGCGGCACAACTGCTTGCTTGCTGCTGCTTCTTCCATAGTGAGTGCTGCCTCTAACAGTTTAACAACATGCGCAAGCTGCAGTGCAACACACACACACAGCTTCACACGCGGCATGTGCCAGGCGGTTATACATGTATGATTAGACTGAGTGGTTATAACAAAGATCCCCCGTATAGCATTAACATGCTGTTGGGGCAAGTGCTATTAGCGAGCACCTATGAAGGCACACGAGGGAATGGGTAGCCACGCCTGGCCGCCTTTGCCCCTGAGTGGCGATATGTTTACACACTGCACCAGATACTCATTTGAGGCTGAGTCGACCTACGGGAGGCACAGGATCGGTTCATATATTCGTAACCGCTACACTACCGCTCACCACGCATACGCACATACGTATTGTTAGGATATGCATGTACGATTAGTCGATATATGGTTATACACACAAGCACGCGTGCGTAGGGGAAACATTAACAATTAGACTATGTGTGGTTACACACACACATACATAGACTCTAAATGGATGATTCGATTCTAACTGGTCACACATACGTATGTGTAGGCTATACGTGTATGATTTTACCTAGTGGCTACACACACACGAGCATATGCACATGTTTCATTACTCTAAACGTCGTTATCTATACACGAAAACGCGTGTATATAGACTACACATGTAAGATTGTTCTACATGTGGAAATGCAGATGCATATGCAAATCATAGATATCTATGCCGAGAGTCGACTACGCGTGGCTATACACACGTTTGTGCAGACGATACGTGCGTGATTCGTCTGTACGTATCTTTGCGCACAAACGCACACGCACGTACACGTCCAAGCATGCTCTGTGCTATCATGACTCTTACACACTCATCCGCGTTGCGCCTCCTGGATGAGTGGCATCTTGAAGGCGCTGCACTAAATCCTTAAGCAATCCGGTAGGTGCGGACGAGCGGTGTAACTTTGAGAGCTTTGCCTTGTGTCGTGAATGCGTAATCGTTTTTGTTGTGGTTGTTGTTGGTGGTGGTGGTGCCACTTTACGCATCGCAGGATGTACTCCGAGTGTAGCCTATATACGGTGTAAGCAGCACCCAGGCAGATCCACAACGAAGGGAAATGCCTTGAAATCGCGCCTTCTTTTCTAATTAGTTTCTTCGTAAGGCTGGACACACACACATACGCGCGCAACTTCGCCGTCACAGCGTTTGCCCATTGGCGTGAAACGTCGCGTTTAGCATTGGATACATCGTTTGAAATTTGCGCACGATTATTATTTTAATCACGCACCTCCGTTTGGCACGGTTGGCTGCGTACGGTGCGAAAGAAGTTCAACGTACATACATGTATTCGCGGATGTTAGGCTAACGACGAGACAACCGAACCCACTATAGAGTTCGGCTAGCCTAACGCATTCACAGATGAACAGTTATGTGTTTGTTTGTTCATGCGGATGGGAGTATACCACCGCGTGCACGCTTTTGCTGCGTGTGCCACGTACCTTTATGATCTGGGCAGGACACCTCTCGCGCTACGCATCGTGAAGATCTGCAGCTGCAGCAGCAAAAGCCGGGCACTCGAATATCGCGAAAACAGAAACAGCGAGAGAACGAGAGAGACTGAGCGCGAGAGACACAGAAGAACACACGACAGAGGTGGAGCGATGTGGGAGAGAAAAAGAGCGAGTGGGGAGAATGAACGAATGAACGCGCCCCGGGTGCCCGATAGCCGTGCCGCTAAAATTCCGTCCGAGCCTCCTCCCTCAACCGCTGCGAGTGCACGGAGCGCTCGCTCCTCCGCTCCCTCGCTCGCTCCACTCGTCGCGCTTAGCCCAGCATCAGCAGTGGCAGCAACAGCAGCATCGCTGCACAGAGCCGCGATGCCGTCTCTGCCGCTCTCGCAGCCGCGAAGGATTCACGGGGAGGAGGGCGCGGGGAGGATTGGGGTTGCTGGGGTGGTGGAGGGGACGGGGGTGGTGGTGGTTGCAGAAGTGAGGGGGTGGTGGATGGGGGTGGTGCATGGTGGGAGGGAGGGAGGAGAGAGGAGGATTGGGATGGAAGGTGTGGGGGCGGAGAGGGTGGGGGTATGAAGGAGGTAGGGAGGGGCTTCGGGGATAGGACGACTGATGCTGTGATTGCGGGATGGGATCCTTGGCCAGAGTCTGGCGGATTAATGCGGGTGGTTTGGGCTGTCCTCCTTCGCACAGCGGTACACGAGGGTCGCCTGCTCCATTCACACCATCGTGATGTGCACCACCGCCGCTTTCTGGGCTCTGGGATATACCCCGAGCAATACATAACTAGCGGGGATATGCACAGGACGTAAGGAATTCACACGCACGCACTCACGCACACTTAACTAACATCCACAGATTGCAAGTCACGCTTTCCGTGATATTTTATTGCAAAGATAATCTACAATGTGTCGTCGGATTCTAGGCGGCGTGGTAATCCTAATAATAATGAGTTCGAAGGAGCTCGTGAAGTCACGTGTTATAAGTGGTATTGCAACCTTCGCATTCCGTCGGCCAGCGCATTAATACTATTGGAGATATACCAGCGCAGCTTGGTAATGCAGTTTGTGTGGTATGCTCGTGTAAATAATAACTCTGCTTGTTTCATCAATTGGAAGCGGAAGCTTCAAGTGACACCGGGCGTCAAAAATCGCGTTTTCAATGGAAATATTTCCCATGCAGCTACAATGTCCCGCTACTTCTTGTCGCGCGCCTCGTTGCGAGAAAACGTGTCTGCGTTTACATGTCTAATTAGCACCGCTCTTAACAAGATGCACAGATGTTTACGGACTTTCCCCAAAACGAATCCATGTATCTGGTGCTCGCACTGTGCCCGGTAGGAATTGCGGCTGAAGACGCCATCAGGTGTAGATATGTAAAAAACAAAAAAATACATTATCGATAACACCGTTTAGATTGGAGTAGCAAATATCTAAACTCAGCAAATACAACTCTTGATAATTAAAACCAAAAAGATTTAAATTTAATATCATAATATTCACACCAAGTATGTACTTCTATCCGGAAAAAATATATAGCCTACATCTTAATTATTCCTCGAATTCAATATCATAAAACTACCAATTTGGAAGGTCGTGCATTTAGGAGTCGACCAGGCCAACACTGGCACCTTGTAGAGAAGCAATGGGAGCGCCTACTCCTGTCCCTTCACTATCCCTGCGAGCATGAGCCAGCAGATTTCGTTTGTGCGTCTCTCGTGAACGTTAACACCGAGGGACCCGCTTCGAACTTTGGCTGTGACAATTGCCTGCCCGCGCCCTGGATCAGCAACTTGCATCAAGTTTGGGAGGATAAAAAAAATGCTTTACCTAGCCCATACGTGCATTTGTGAATATGTAAAAGGTAAAGGCGCAGCCCTGCAATTACGTGCCCATACCTATTCTTCTTGCGGAAGGGCCTCCACCAGGGGGAGCTCCTGTAAAAGGGTATTTGCCCTACTATACCATGCTTGTCCGATTTAGGAGTACCCACACTTTACCCCACCACACACGACCTGCTGATCTACTAACGCTAGTGTACCCATTAGTACTGCTCAGGAGACAGAGGCACGGGGAAGATTTTAAGAAACCCACACCATTGCTTCAAGTACCTCGCCTGGGGACAGAACTGGCAACCACTGTATTGCAAGTTCAGTGTGCCATTTCCATTGCGCCACGGCAGCATCCCCATGAATATGGAACAAAACACACATGGTTATTTAAGGCGACATTATAGCCATGGTAGGAATTTGATTGAGGGTTTAATATAAAATGGGTCATCTCTACCGGGTGCGGTGGTGCACGCCAGTTATCCAGCACTTTGGAGGCAAAGGTTGATGGATAACACACGTGTGAAACTCCCAAACTCACTGGGCTGCAGAGTGAAAAGGATATGGCAGTACAGCAGGATTATTGAATTCACCTGTGCGGAGATTTGAGCGTCTTCCCCTCGTATGTCTGGCCTCTCTCCAAGTGTCATGGTTTCCTCCCACATCCCACTCTCAAATTGAATTGTTCAAACATGGCAATGTAGAACCTTTCCGAGTATTACGACTAATTGATACTTTCCTAGATACATTTGATTTTTGCTTTTATAACTACATTATGGCACCAATTAAGATGTGTACCGCTTTGTGGGAAGTCAAAATAGCTTGCTCTATGGAAAGACCGTTCGTCATCACTCTCATATAGAAGCGCAATCACCACTTCAATACTGCGAAACCAAATGAGCCCTGCCATTTAGGGGCCAGCCTCTCTAAAGGACCACCACTGTTGACTTTGCACAAAGTAGTGTCTATTTTATCGACCCAGCATGGGTGGTTTAGTGAACTCTAGACCGAGATTTGAGTTTCAACCTGTAAAATTTGAAAGTGAATGCGCCTGATCCCGGCAACTAAGCAGAGTTAAACCTGGTTAGTAGTGGGATGGAGGAAGTGCCTGGGAGTAATTGATGTTGTAGGTTTGGTTGGGCTGTAATTTGTCCAGGAGATAGCAGCACAGCAACTGATTCTTGAATATTTCTGTACGGAGATTTCTTTGTGTAAACCCAATCGTATTTGTGCGGTTTTTTTTGCTCGGTTTCCTCCCACATGCCAGACACTCGTCGATGGAATTGAGGAAATATCCCCGATGCAAAGACCCTCCTGCAAATCAATCTTGATGCTCGGCGAGGCTTTCTGTGGTAAATAAATGGTAAATGTTATTTTACTTTACAATTACGAATCGAGCACTCTAACTTGCGGCGCTACCCCAGCCGCAACGGAGAAATGGGTAAAACATTGTGTGAATTGGGTTGAACATGTGCGGCGGAATTAGTTTTGTAAGCTATTAGCGCACATAATCACGAGTTTATGAAAAAAAAAGTTAACTCGAGCAAAACGACTACGGTATGGGCGAAATTTTTTGAATGATGACAGTATATTAATCGCTTTCTCCAATTACAAAACCGTATTTAATTGATAATTAATAGTTTTGGCAGGAGTAAAGCAGGTTTAAAATACTTTTTTGCAACAGGCCATTGAGCATCCAAGTAATGGTTGCCAGTGATCAACGCAACACATTGACAGCATGAATTAACATTGCAGCACAAATGAGGAGAGTCCTTTTCCATTACATTCTGGCAGTCGAAGCCATCAATAAAAAAATGAACAAAGTACACTGATATGTTAAGGCGATATCTAGTATTGTACAGAGCAAAACCTGCCACTCTATTATATAAATACCATGTATTTATAGCACCGCTACAGATGTATAATCACCACGTACACACACTCTTGAGGTAGGCATTTGCAATGTCCATGCAAATCATGGACGTTGGTTGGGGGAATTATTAAAATGCAGCTTCTCTGCTGATCAATGTAATCCGCGGTTATGGGCTTCGTGCATGGTGTCCCTTAGACGCGAAATGGATTGCAGGGAAAGGGTGGGACATTCGTCTTGCGGGATAATAAAAGCTTTGGGAGCGCAGATTCATCGTTTGTAGATACAGCTGCAACGCTCAGGAGGCATTTTGATGAGGTTATGCAGGGTAAATGTAATTGAGTGTTCATTATGTGTCTGTACCTGCCCGCACCCATGCATCGGAACTCTGCAAGCTTGGGAAGCAAGGGGAGGGGTGGAGGAGGAGAGGTGGGGGCGGCGGTTGCGGGGTCTTTTGGTGTTCCCTAACCCCTAAATCCTCCACGGGCGATCCGTCATTTTCAAACGGGAGCGGAATGGATGTGAGGTCGGGCGGAGACTTGAGAGCCTCACTCCAGAGCCTCACCCCCAAATGACCTCCATCCAACTTCTCCGGCTGTGTCCTGAGACAGCTTAAGAGGGGGTGCATGGGGAGAATCGTGGCTGGATATGCTGCTGTGCGTACCGGGTGTAAGCGATTATTTGCCTGGTTAGGGCGCAGATTATCCACGGGTAATGTAGCTTCACGGCCACCCGTTGAATGCTCAGCATAGACCGCAGTTAGCCGGGCTAATGCATAGCTTTGGGAGCGAGATGTCATCATAATAATAACAACACAATGTACTATCGAGATTTTTTTTTACGATTACAGAAGGTTATGGCATTGCACGAATGCCACTGTCTGTGAAATTGTCATTGTTCATTGAATTGTACAATAGCAGCCAAAGCCATTTACACGTTTAATTTATCGTGTTATATAATTACATGAGGAAGTAGCATTGTTTCGGGAGAGAAAGCCGTCTGTTCTGTGATGTATTGGATCACAATAGCATTAGTGCTCAGCACTGGATGCTTCGTTATGAACTTACCTAGAGTCACTTACCGTTCTCGATAAATATAAACGTAAGCTCTGTTGTGAGTAGTGGACACAATGGCACGTACACCTGGGTATGGGTCTTCGGCTAATCACCATAATCAACATTAGCAGTCAAAATCATGATCGAACGTGATCCAGGAGTCCGCCCTGAACTGTACTTGGGCACTTAGCGCCTCTAGTGAGACATTTTATCCGTGCACAATTAGCAAAAAGAACCCACACCGTTCGTCAATATAACACTACCTTAAAAGTGAAATACTCTACCGTGTGTGTATATAATAGGCGGCATTTAGGGCATTTGCCCTTGTAGAGGGCACGTGGATAAAGAGGCCAGCGATGTAAAGTGGATGAGAGTTGGAGGCTGCGCTCTACTATAACATATACACAGTTCACCAAAATAATGTTAATCGACTCGTGTGCGCGGGATACGAGTGTGAAATCCGTGCAGCTAGTTTGTCTTCAACTTTGATCAACACGACGTGGCACGCAGTCTCTCTTGCGAGGCGCTCAATATATATCGAGTATGGGTAGGCAGCGTTGGTGTCACCGGGTAGCAAGACCCACTTGTCTGGTCAATGCCGTGTGAACGTCTTCTGCTGGCTTTTACAAGTCCAGTGATATATGTTGTATGAGCTGGGTTGATGCTACGTGGGTGTGTGGGTTGATGCTGTGTGAGTCGAGTTGATGCTGTGTGGGTGTGTGGGTTGATGCTGTGTGGGTTGATGCTGTGTGGGTCCGTGAGTTGATGCTGTGTGGGTGTGTGGGTTAATGCTGTATGGGTTGATGCTGTGTGGGTCTATAAGTTGGTGCTGTGTGGGCCTATAGGTTAGTGCTGCGTGGGTCTATAGATTGGTGGTTTGTGGGCGTATCCTCATGCTAGATTTGGGTAAGGACGTGTTAAACGTAAGCACCCTCTTTACTCCCCGTTGTCTTGAGTTAAAAGGCTTAAAATGTAAACCTGACTGCAACCTTGTGTTCATGATCAGTCCATCACATATCCAGTTGAGATGACAGCACAATTACTGTTTATTAAACACAGTAGTCCGTGATGCTGCGTTGACAGTGCTGCACAAGCAAATAAAAACACCACTTCTGCATCGGTTTGCCGCCTGAAGAAGGCCCTTGCACAATACGTCGCCGATTATTACGTACTTTTGGACTTTAAGAGAGCGTTGTTGATGCGTGTGTTGCGTTATTGCTTTTTAGTTTATTGCTCGATCGTTTTTTTATTGTTTGTTGTAACTTTCTGACGCGAACCCACTGGACATCCGTGAAAAAGAGCTTCAAAGCTCGTCGGAGTTCTCCAAGATAAATAGATATTCTTATTCTGTTTATGTCTTTAGTACACACCTTTTTACTTAACAAGGTATGCATCTTAAAGGACTCTCACCTCGTTAATATTTCACTAAATACAATCTTCGATTTAGGTCTGCTTCTTAAAGAACGCTCACCTCGTTAATATTTAACTCAATACATGGGGTTCACAACGTGTCTCCATCTACAAGAATTGGGACAATGCAGTTGGTCTGAGAAAGTCGTGAGGAATTCCACGTTCTCGTGATAGGGGTCAATCTACTTAAAGGATGACCCCTGTTAACTTACTACAGAGTGGCATGGGCCTTTGCATGCATTTAAACCCAGAGTGATTTTGGGATTTGACCTCACAGTCATCGATCTAGGCACTATAAGCACCATATAGGCACTATAAGCACAATGCCACTCCACCGTATCTCCATGGTACGTGTGCACTGATGTAAAACGTACCCGCGCCGACTATGTGTAAACATTGGTCCTGTAAAACTGTTGAAGCGAAATTAATCAATTAAAGTTTAAATGGGTAGACCATGCCACAAGAAAGGCCGAGGAGAGACAAAAGAAACGACGGAGCAGAGACCGAGAGGAGGCGACGGAGCCAGAGGAAGACGCCTGAATAGACAGCACCAGCGAGACGACATCATCGGTCTCGGAGGGCGAGACCGATGATGTCGGGAAATTGCTGACTGACAATGACGAAAACAACAGCTACACTCATCGCAAATCATATGTAAGTCGTACCTTGTGATAAATGTTAATTGGACATATTTCCACCACGGGAATTGTGTTGACAGCTCAAGGATATACACGTGGCCAGGAATCGGCGTAAGGCAATTGAGCAGCTACTTAACGTGTACGTTTGCAGTTGACCATCACAATTGTAACGTAATCAGTGATACCATGGATTTGTGAACATTTGCTGTGTGACTCAACAATAGGGGATGACATTCAGTAAAGGGATAATCGTTGTCCCGATCGTTTTCCCCAAAATAAACTTACAGAGTGTTGATTTTTTTTAATGAGGGTCCTGAAAAATATGGCTTGTTGGGTACCTGTTAGGGTGGCAAATGCTAACATTAATTTTCTCGAAGACGCTGTCCTGTTGATCACAAATACTTATGATAGCAAGGTAGCTATTGTAGCTTTGTTTCAGAATAATATACACACAATGGTGCCAAAGTGTATTTGGTAGGGAATATCGTTTGCAAGAAAATAAATGCGATATAAAACATGCACACAATCTGAAAACAAATAGGGCATGTAATCTACAAAATAGGCAGTATGTAACCTACGATTTCTATTAATGGTGTATACTGCCCATGGCGGATGCTTGGAGAATTTGCTACCGTTGGCTCGTGGACTTAAGAGTTACGAAGCGAAGAAATGCCTGCGCACGTGGGTTTGCGAGATGAGCTCGCCTTCCCCCAACCCATCCGCGCCAGTAGCCCCGAGAGCAATTTTATCGCGGTAGTTCATTAAAGGGAAACGTTAAACGGAAGCGTTTTAAATCAAAAGTGCGGCCATACGAATCACTCTAAAAACAGGTGCGCGCACAACAAATGCGCGCGCGCACGCGTTGTACCGCGCACGTCACCGATAGCCATCAATCAAGTTTCACTCAATAAAGCGCAACTTTAATTAGCTCATGCGAAATCTACAATGAGATTTAATGAATACGGACGCGCGCGCGTGTTTTTGTTGTTGTTGTTTAAGAACGGGCGCAATTACCGGGCGTTTAGTGACGTCATTAATTCCGCTTGTTAATTCAATCTTCAGAACCGGTTGTTTTTTTTTTCCGTGAAAGGGGTTGGATGGAGGGAAGGACGATGTGGAGAGCGATAATTGGTGAAAAATGTTTGGGCTCAGAAGTGATGCTTCGCTTTATGTCCATGTACGTGTGTGTCTATGACGGTACGCACTGTTGCCTGCGCGGTACGCGGTGAGTACGATACCCAGGATTCGTGTGTTGTGCACTACGGTTTCCGTTTTCAATGCTTGTAAACGAGAATGGAAATACCTCGCTGAACTGGTCAAGAAGCAGACGGTCATCTCTCTGCAGCGGCTTTTTTTTTAGCTCGCTATCGGAACGAAGACGATCACCTGCATCGCGTGGTTTCAATTGTGGACTCTTCCGATATTAGGAAGCCACTTGAGCGATGCACTTTTTAAAATCCTCGATTGAAAGCTCCTTTCTTCAGAACTGCTTTTTTTGGTGTTTTTATTTGTCGTCCTCCGCCTCTCAACTTCGATTAGCACGGCTGGTTACGTAAGATGCGAAAGAAGTTCAACGTACATGCCGTGTTTAATAGTCGCTTATCAGCCGGAGAATGTTGGTGATGCAGTACACGGCTATTATGTGCATATGTGTGGTTGTTGGCACATCTCGCTGCTATGAAGAAGGGCGAATGTCGCATGTTATGTTTACGTTTTTTCGAGCAGTGTTATTGACAAACATGCTGCGTTTGAGTTTCTAATATTCCAGTTTTTAGACAAAAGTGATGTCCTGCTCAAACGAGCATTGCTGCGATACTTTTCTGTGTATAACCCTGAGCCAGTGGGTATAGATTACATTATCCCATGACGTGGGAGAATCTGACCAACGGGCAATTTGTGCGTATGCACCACTGTGACATCCGTTACAAAGGTATGGTTAATTCCTTTGCGCTATGTTGAACTTTCAAGGAAGTGGATTTCGCACAAAGTCGTAAATAGCACTGCCTTAAGAGCTAACGTACAATAGGCGACCTTTATGGCAATGGCCTTTTTCATGGTACATTGCGCTTTGATTTTTTTGTTACGCAGTTAGGCAGGCCCATTGCCTGAAACGTCACGTTATTATATCCGTTTAATGTTTTAAGGCAGTGAAGCCGACGAGTTAGTGGTTTGTTAATTGTGCTTGGGCACCACTGCCAACCCAGCAGCATCGCCATATAATGCGCATTAACCTTGAAAGCTTTGATGACATATTGGCATTGGATAGGGGTCTACAATCTGCGGCTCCGGAGCCGAATGCGGCTCTTTAAGGGCCACTTCGTGACGTTATTTACAGCGCCAACCTATAGACCCGCACGGAACCAACCTAAAGAGCCCTGGCAATGGACGAGGTGAGGGCGGGGGGGGAGTGCCCGGGCATCGCTGCTCATCGGCCAGAAGAGCGCGCTCCCCGGCACGCCGACTCTGTCTATCGCTCGATCGCCACCGCTGCTGAGGTGGTGGTGGGGGGACCCCCACGCAGCGCTCAGCCACCTCCTCCACTGCAGCGTGCCAACGACCACTGAGACAAGGTCGCGCGTCAGCTTCGTTCAATGACCGGTAAAGTTGGATCGAGCTCGGGTCCCCCACGGAACAGGCTGACCTATCCTAGCGAGCTGTTGATCATTGCCACGTTGGTGAACGCATTCTAACGGGCGTTATCGGTGGGAAAATGCAGTCCGTTCAACGATGGAAATTAATTATTATGCTCCCTATGCAGAGGAATGCATCGAATTGTGGTATTCTAATATTTTCATATTTGTATAAGCTGTTTAATTAGTTAAAATTAAACGACTATTTATTTTGCCACGTAAGGTCCACTGCGCTCTGTCTCTTTTTCAGAAGCGACCTGGCCACAAATAAAAGCTCGACAAAGTGACTTGTGGAAATGTATAGTAACCAAGTATTCTAAATGTGGATGGGGAGAGACATGCTAACTCCAAACATACAGGCGTCAGGGTCGGGAGCGAACCCACGGCCTCCTGTATACCAGGCGAAAGAGAGTTTGGTACATTCCTACTCACAATGTTAATTAATAAATGTATCGAGTTGAACGCGCAGTGGATTGCGTATTGGCTAGGGTGCAGGTAATATTTCATCCTGTGTGCACCTTAAAAGTGAGAGAGAACACCGTTCAGGTGATCCGCTAACATATAATTAAAAGTTAATTTTAGCTTTTAATTGAAAAGGGTGTTAGAAGTATATACCACCCTTGCCAGAAAATTTAGGTTTGGATGGGCCAGAAAATGCAGTTATTATAAATAACAGTAAATACCGTACTTGTTACAGCGTTAACACTTTGTATAAACACTGCAATGGTTATTATTTCCAGCTAGGCGGCGCTGTGCGTTGGAGGCACCGTGAACACGATCCAGTCCATTCATTTATTGGTGGGTAAATTATGAACGCTTATCTTCTCTTCAGAGTGGTTATCATGTGACTAAACTGTCACCTGTTGTAGTAATGTGGAATTAACGCAATTGGCTCAGGTTTGCCTGTCGAGAGAAGTCGGGCACTTTATCTTCGACAGCCTGCGTATGGCTAATGTTGATTTAGAGCAACTATAATTTTACATTTGTTTACGGCACACGGTACCAATACGCATGTGTGCGTATTACACATGCAAGTAAACACTTGATCAACATGCCACGCGTAACCGTGACATCCATGGGGTCACGGCAGAGGCCAAGTGGCTGTTTATTGGTTTATGGCAACAATACTAACCAAAGCGCTCCGAGCCTTCAGTTTACACTGATGTCCTCCGTCTCATGCCACGTGCTTGCACCTTTAGGAACTATTGCGGAAAGTCGGTTCAGTTGATCACACAGCTGCCAACAGACCCCCCAAAATCACATTGAAAGCGAATATGCCAGACATGGTATATAGACGTATCCGATCGGAGAATGTGAAATCGGGACATAACAATATCCGACGCGCCAAACGGGAGAAAAAAGCATATTAAATGGGATGGTACAACTGTCACGTGCATCTGTCAGGTGGGTGTGCTGTGAATATCTGTTTTGGAATAACTGCGCGTTCCTTACATGCATGACCGTGATTGTTGAAGAAGTCCACTTGCTAATGTCACGATTTTAAGAAAAATTGCACTTTTTTAATGCTTAACGCTGACATGTTTAAGCATTCGATTTGCTGCAATACAATAGCACTAAACCATGACTAAATGTCATATTCGATGAAATTCAAAACATTGTTTTGATATTTAAATGTTTTTTTTAAACCCTTAGGTAGATGTAGATGGGTTTTATTCCATAGCACTTTTTGAGTATCACATTTCTTGTATTGGACAAAGTCAACAAAGGTAGTTTTTTTATTAGAAAAAGAATGCATATTTTACCATCAAACTGTGTGAGACCAGCCCAAGGTGAATGTCTAAGAAGGAATACAGAAATACGGTCAACTAATGTGTAACAGACAAGTGAGTTATAGAGAATTGGAGACAACTTAAGTGCTCTGATAGCTATATATTTTTTTGCAAAACACAAGTATTGAAAAAAGTGTCTTAAGTAATAACAGCAGTGACAAACGCCTTTTGAGATTCCACAGCCCTCATTGTGTAAAGAGATGGAGACGTATTCAGTTTAGATTTTTAATGACGGCTATAATGGAGAAACGTGTGTGGTCAACTTGTGGGGAATGGTAGTGTAGGGGTTGGTGTGCTATGCAACAAACCTGGCCACCCGAGTTCGACTCCTGCTCACGGCCAACACCAGTGACGATAATTTGAACGGGCCCTGGACCTCCCCTAGGTCGCATCAGCCTCATGAGTACCTGGTGCGGTGTGTGAAAATCATTGCCACTGGGGAGACAAAGGCGGCCGGGCATAGTGCTGGCCCTCCACCCCCTCGTGTGCCGTGCCAGCCTTCATAGGTGCTCGCTAGCAGCACTTGCCCTAACAGTCTGTTACAGGCTATGCAGGGGGATCTTTGTTTGAACATGTGTAATGTAGTTCTCGGATACACCGTCTTGTCTTTTTGTGTATTTATAATGAATATAGTCCTCTAACAACTCAACGAGTAATAGCGAGTGACTATACACCGGGATAGTTGCACAACTCTATTCAGAGCCAACATAACGTCTCTCCTCAAGACAACTCTCAGACGATGGAGACGACCCGATCCAGGGCGACGGCAGCGAACCCCAACCCGAACAGCCCACAGCTCCGGCTTGTGCTGCTTCTTAAGCTCGCCTGGTCCGGCCACGCCATTTTTCCAGAATTCTCTCGCCGCACCGTCTCTTGTCGATCACCGCCCAAATGACACGTCCCCCCGCCATTGGATCCCGTGCTCTCCCTCACGTGACTCCGTCAACGTTAGTCTCGTCAATCATCATTAGCACATCCATTAATAACCATGATCCCGGGGAACCATACTGTCCCGCTATCTGCTCCGCACTGTCTTTACATCACCCCCCCCCCCCCTTCTAAAACAAAAAATACCCGTTCTTGGCTAACACAATTTCAACAATTTATTTTTAGGCTGAATCAACCGTTTAACACGATACGTAACAATTGTTTAGGGGTTGAAGGAACAACCTACACTTTAGAACACCAATGGAGACCACCGCAATGAAACACAACAATAACGCCAACTCTGAACAACACACGCACACAACCCCCGCGATCATCCCGCCAAGCCACGTACATTTTGAACATACAGACGCCCACAACACAAACCAACCACATCACGGCGATCCGTCAACGAAATGTCCCGTTATTGACGTCGGTCCTTCTCCCCGGGCAGATTTGTGGCCGTCAATGGCCAAGAGGGCTTGCACTCAACCCGGGGGGGGGGGGGGGTTGAGGTCTTCAGGCACTTCTGAGGCCAGGGATTCGCAACTGGGGGTGGAACAACACATCACTCGGCGTCCGATTACAGCGGCCCGGCCCGTCCAACACCCCAGACCCCGACCACACAACACTGGAGATGAATGATGCAAGACTAAGGCAACATGCGGCTCCAAGCGCAACTTATGGCAGCTCGGCTGCAACATCTCGCTCGCCCTTACCCGCACCATGGCCGTCCAATTCCAACGACCTCCACCGGCCATGTACCTGGCCAGTGCAAGTTTCGGGGACTAAAGCAATGGCACTTCGCAACCAACTCAGCCAACCTCTATCCCGAACTACACCTCCTCTGACTCACACATTCCGACACATCACACAGTCCGACGTATTGACAAGGAGTGTTTTTCCCTTCCTGAGGCTGGATCCCGTCCAACATCCATAGGGGCGAATTTCCATGGCCACCATTCCCTCAACAGGGACCGCATGCAACAGGAGTCGCACTCAACCTCATGCACCCCAAACAACTTAGGGTTACTGCCACAATTCACCCTTCCATGCTTTCCAGCATGTGTCCTCGCTCCCGTCTCAGCGCTCGGCCCGAATCCGTCGCATCAAGCTAACCTCGTAATTAAAGTTACGTGGTTTCGCTTCGCAGGCTTATGCTTATGATGAAATTTGCATCTTCTCATGGATTTGGACAATTTCTTCATAAGGGAAACTGTTAATTTCGTTTAACAATTACGATCATATTCCCATGTTTCGTCGTGATTCATGTGTACTCCACGTACTCGTCTTTCTTATCCTTCCAATGCTTTCAATTCTACATCCATTCTGCCTTCTGCTTTACTTCCAATTTGATTGACACTTTGACTAGTGTTTCTGTACATCTCATCTAGTGGCCAAACTTTGATATTTTTCTTTCAATTTTCTCCATCTTTTCTCGCCGATTTTTGTTTCTGTCAAGACAATTCATGGAGAACCTTCTCCACTACCACATCAATTTCTCCATCTTATTTTAGTGTCCAACATTCACGTGTACAAAACTGCCCTGCACACCCGACTTTTCATCAAACGACTCTTGCTAGTCCTACTTCATTAGTCTGTCCTGTTTCTTTGTCTTGGTTATATCAAACCCTCTACCACTCTCTTATATTGAAACTCAAGCGACCTATTCCGTATTCCATGTTGATCCCGTAAAGTTATCAACCACAACAGATATTTGTTATTTATTTTATCCGATCATACATTCTGCTAGTTGATGTCATGGTGTTCTCACCACAACTTCTGCTGCCATGCTGGACAGCAGTGGTGACCGTTGATGTCTTTGGGATTTTCTTACTTGATTGCAACCTCCTAAGAGTAAATGATACATGCCATAATGTCATTGATGTTTATTATGAAACGAGTTTTGAGTAGCCGACAAATATTGCACACAACGGTTTTTGTGTTCAATATTTATTAAATGCATGCCAATCCATAAATTGCAAATGCTGTTCCCTTTATTTTGTGAAGACAAACTGTGCTTCATTTGCCTCTGTTTTTGCCACACCTTCCATATGTGATCCTGAAACTCAGTGATTTTTTTTCACTGCATTGGAAACTAAACTACTGATGCAATAATAGCACAGTCAACGTCAGACATGTTTTCTTCAAGGAATTAAATTATAATTGCTTTACTTCATTAACTGGGTAATCTTTTTCAGATCTGTTTTTTTTACCTAGTCGTGTAGTCGTTGTCCCAACCTGCTTCCAAAATGGCATTGGTAATTTTCCCTCATCTTGACTTTCCGTGACCAATTCTTATATTTTTGTAAAGAGTCACATTTTTTTAGAAGGGATTATTTATCTACCTGGTAATTCGTGCATTTTTCGCAGATCATTGTGAATTTGAGTTGCGTAGCAAAGACAAGCTCAATTGTTGAGGGTCTTTGCTCCCACGGATTCGGGCAGCGAACTACAGAGGCACCGCAATTGTTAGGCTTCGACAATTATTGGAGGATAAATTTTTGATTAGTTTGTAGCTTCATTTTTTATATAAATGGTGTCTGGAGCAACCATTGCATATGCCCAGCTCATTTAACTCGGCCCTATTTGTTAATTTATTCTCTTTGGTTCTTCTCGCCCTTTCTCGCATTTTCCTGTTATCGTCCTCATTTGGCTTTGCCTACGATTGCATCGAAATCACATGTCACAACAACAACGTAGAATTCCTGAAATGCTACGTATCCATATCTTGATTCTACACTTCTCATTCATTACTCTTGTTGGCATGCCCATGATGTCTGGTTGTGATTATCCCAAGGTATTTACCTCCCTTTTAAAACAGTAACTCAGGAATTGACTGCTTGATATGACTCCAATTGCTGCTGTATTTCAATTTTGGGTTTACAAAAACACGTACCCTATCAATTTCATTCTGTGCTTTGTTTAGTTGCCACTGCAGTCCTTGTGGTCTAGGTTTTCCCTTCCAGATCTTCTCGCATCCACAAATGTCAATGTCTAGTTTCATGGACTTGCCACGACTCACCTGGAGGTGTAGAACAGTTACACCTCGAGCCCTCAGTCAAATCATGAGTCGGGTTAAAAGCGTTTTGTTACAAATTTACAGGGCATCTAAATACTAAATGTGTCTTCAGACACTGGATGTAGCAGCCCACATAACAAACAGAAAACGCTGACGAAATCAATGTGGTGTGAAAATAGAAACCGTTAAATTTAATCAACGAACTTTTGCTGGATAGTGAGCATTGGTCTAACATGGCACAAAAGCCAGTACTTAGTATATTACTTATGCTTATTCAAGAAACACATTTTGGGCCTTTGGGTCTGTGCTCGACAACAGATGAAAAAACGGATCCCCATCACCGCAATCTAGGCTGACAGTGCTTTAACTAAGTAAAGATAATTCACAAATGTTGTGCGGGAGGGGGGGAGGGGGGTGCAGTTAGAATCGGATGACAATTGTGATGGAGTTCGGAGGGTGGAAATTTTTAAATGATTGGGCAGAGCATCATGTGAAAAAAGTGATACATGCATGCTGAAGTCAAGACTAAACAAGTTTGTTTTTATTGTGCCCGCTGCCATTGACATCATATTTTGTCAACAAGGTATGATGGCGCTACTTAAGGTTTAACTCGACAAATCTATTTCTGAGTTGAGCATGCTGCCTTTATGCCACCTGGCTGTCATTTTTTTTACTTTCTGTCTAATGGTTTGCCAGGATACAGCCTCGTTTAGACAGCACTTATGCATGCAATAAATAGAATAACAAAAAAATACCAATAATGCACTTGGGTTAAGGTGGCTATAAACACTACACCGTCTTTTGATTACTGGCCACGGCTAACATAGGTGGTAAGTGATATCTGAACCAGGCCGAGTTACCCCCTTCACCAACCAACACTGGCCAGCTTGGTCAAGTAAAGTAAACAAACTTCTTGTGACTAACATGGCACTGCGGGAGGCCTTCATCCAGCAGTTAATTTGACAGATGTTATTTTTTTTAAGTGGTGTGTCATTTTTTATTTATTTAAGAGGTTCTTGAATCGGCATCTAATTATAAAAGGCCCGCTGTCCGTTTGTCTGTCAAATAAATTGAGCCTTTCAAAAGCCTTAATCTAAAAGTTCTAGAAAGTGCCCCCCCCCCCCCAAATGTGGGGTGAAAGGTTAGTCCAACAGGTCTCCGAAAATTCTCGACCCCCCCCCCCCCCCAAATGTTTTATTTTGTAGGCATATATGCCGACACCCTACGTACAATAATGTCCATGGTATCTGCGCACATTGGGAGGGATGGGAAGAAGAGAACATCATCAGTGAGGGTGACGAGTGAGGCGTAAAGCGTCAGCCCTCCGCAGGAGCTAGTTAAAGCAAACCATTCAGGTGCGCAGCACAATAAACATGGATAAACGCTCACGAAAGCTACTCAACCATCAAACATTAATTGATAGAAACATCTGATGCTCTCGAATGTAAAAAAAAAATCGTGACCCCCCCCCCTCCCCCCCTAAACAGGTCAACTCCCAACCACCCAGTCCCAATCATTCACTCCCCATGCCAGGTCCAACCACTGTTATGGCGTGTATCCTCTATTCCTTGCAGTGTACAACAACCTCAATGCCGTTACTCCTTTTAACGAATTCAAATACGTTATAGTGATTGTGCTGTTGCTCATCCACCTATACTCACGAGTGGAAATATATTTTACTCCAGGATTTTAAAAAAATCCTAGCAGTTTTTCGTATCTTTTCAAAATAAGTGTATAAAGTATATGGGTTTTGTAAAAAAAAAGTCCGTAGGTGGGCCAAAGGAGTTAAATATAGACGCAATGATCATGTCAGTGCCATGTAGCCATTGGTTCTAATAGTATCGCCATTCTACCTTTTTAAATAGCCATGCAATTGACAAATGAACACACCCATTGCCGCGTACTTCGTATCATCCGACATCTACCATAAAAGCCTGGAGTTCCGTTTTTCCGTTTGTCCCCTCCCCCGAACCCAAAAAAAAGAAATGTTTTTAATAGGCATATATAGTCAGTAGTATCTACGGACTCTATATATGCCTACATACCCTACAGACAATAGAACCAGTAGTATCTGCACACCTTGGTGGAGGGGGGGGGACATCATTGAGGGCGATGCGCAAAGCGTTGAGAAGCCCTCCGCAGGAACTCGTCTAAAATGACTTGCAGGCTGTATCGCCGATGACGCATTCCTTGTTGTGAGGGCAGGCTGTGGCCCAAGCTATGCACTGCAGTGGGCATGTCATTAAATTTACATGCAATTTGTCCATTTCAGGAGAGGTGAGAAAGGTCTCGATGTGCCATGGAAGGGTTGCTCTTAATTATGGTCGGGTTGCCCCTTGTAACACAATGAATACTGGAAAATAGTAAGTTGTTGCTCACGAGAGAGATGCTTGCATTAGTGGGTTTCCAATGGTCATGAAATGTTATGCGGGATTACATGTGCCAATCTACTGAGGTTTCACTTCTCACCACGTGTTTAAACACGATGATATGCACACGGGCGCACACATGGTCTGCACGTGAATGCGTTTGTAATATTATGCATGCAAGTGTGTACTTGTAAAAAGAGATTTGATTTTAATAGTGCTAGGAATAATATGCAAAGCACTGAGCAATGCTAAACCTCTTGCCCATACTGTTGCGCAGTTGTGCACAGTGTTCTGGTCTTACGGGATTACATGCAAAACTACTTGTGCATTGTTTTGGATACCACAGTTTACAGGAGCAGTGCGCTAGAAGATCCATGGTGGGAATCGCATGTCGCGACCACCCATTTTTGACGGTACAAGTAATTTATAGGGGACTAGCGGGAAGTACCTGGCGTTGCCCAGGCGAAAAACACACACACACATCGACTTGGACACACAGACATCGGCCCACACACACAAAAACACATCGACTTACACACACACACATTGACTTGGACACACAGACATCGGCCCACACACACAAAAACACATCGACTTACACACACATACATAGACTCTCACACACGCATTGGCCTACACACACATACACATTGGCCTATACACAGACTCACACACACAGACATCCACTTTAGATACACACACGGAGTTGGACACACAAATCGACGTACACACATACAGCGACACACACACCGACCTAAGCACACATGCACTTACACACACACATCGACTAAGATGCACACATATTGGCCTACACACACATGGACTCGCACACAGACATGGACTTTAGATACACACACATGGAGTTACACACACATCGACGTACACACACATCTGCTGTTGCCCGTGAAAAAAAGACAAATACACACATCGACTTGCACACACACACACACATGGACCTAAATGCACACACATGGACTCACACACACACACATCGACTTACACAGCAATCCCTGATGATGCCACAGCTAGAGCAATTTTCTCTCTGGCGAGCCTTGGCGAGGAGCAGTTTGAAAACGAAAGTCTTCCCAGTACTGGCAGGTGCATCAAGGAAAAAAAAGACTCGATTAGTCTCCATGTCTTCCAAGATTTTCGTGTAGGCTTATATTTGTGCATCTATCAGCTTTGGTTAATTTTCCTAAATAAATGTAAGAAGCTGTAAAGCATAATAGCATATTTCACGTAGGATCTCTTGAGCAAGGGCATGCAGGTTGTCCCTGTAGGGTGTTGGTAGTCCCATTTGACGTGAGCTATTTTCCACTAATGGAGTGCATTTTGTCCTGAAGGAAGATGAGGGCCTGTTTCAAGATGACATCAGAAAAGTTGACGTCGAGGTTTGTATTTTGTCATTGAGCTCCGTGGAGGATGTCCTCACTCATGCCCTCTTTGTATTTTTTTGCCAGAATCCCATGGGGTTAAATGGGCTGCAAACGTGAAGCTTTATAGAAGAGCAATGTCTGTTGAAAAGGGGACTGACCAACAGAAGCTTCTGTCATAGCTTCATGAAGATGGTGATCATGTGCAAGAATTGCACGAAGATTGCAAGCTTCCCTGTATGTTTAGAGGTCTTGGAAAGGTGTGCCCTTTGGCAACATGGAGAAGCATTGGGAGAAAGTAGCACTGCTGATTGTTGGGATGAACCGTGCAGACTCATCTTAAGGCATCAGATGCACTGTTAACAGCACGTCGCTTCCATTTTTTTAGCAGTCAATGTATAGTAGGAGGGAACTTAATGGTAGAGCATGTTGGCAGCAAATGGGTCACTTTGGCACAAAACAAAGAATGCCATCAAGGTGGTATCTTGTGACGCCAGGGCCTGTTGGTCATTTCCTTTGACGTAGATGCGTTGACCATTTGAGGTGAAGTGGCAAATGGACGACTGTGGGGGAACGGTTATGGATGGGGAAGCCAATAATTCTGCAAATGGCCTCGTTGTTGCTGATGTATCTTCCTTGGAAAAAAAAGGTTAAGCTCGTGCACACTTTTTTGTAAGGCAAAGGCAGCCATGTCAGAGCCTTTATTGATGTATTTGCAAACATATTTGATGGCTTTTTTTAGAAGAGCAGAATTTCACGTTAAAGTGGGCCTGGAAGATATTGCACAGAAGAGGGCAGTAGGGAACGATCCACCGGTTGTTAGCCTTAATTTCCGAGTTAGTGGCAGGTCTGAGCGTTGTTTGAAATCTAACATAGCCATTATGGGCAAACTGGGTGTTTCAAGTAGTTCCGTGGATACCTCTTGGTACACCTGTTGTCTTGCATACATGGCGCATTTGGATAGAACTGGCCACATGGGCCATGGAGTATTTGATTGCAGACCACATAGAAAAGGGCAGGGTCTTGATGGGGGTGAGGTAGCTCAGCACTGATAAATGTTTCGATGTGACTTGCATGAATTGTTTCCCTCATCCATAGCGAAATGTGAGGATGAGGCGACGACGTTTTTGCCACCCAATGGTGTGCAAGTTACTGTGTCTATCCAAAGAGGCCGCCTTCGTTGGTCGTAATAAGCATAATGAGGTAATAAACTTTGAGTTTTAAGACCCTCGCTAAGATGTCCTGTCTGTCTGGTGGCTTTTGGTTTGGATAAATGTAAACCTGGATCTCCTTTCATTTGGGATTGCAAGTGAAGGTGATGAAAAGATGGGGCGTGCCATATTGGCTGATGTACGTCATGGCATCCCGAGTCTTCTCATGCATGTATCTTGGTGGCGCTGTAAAGGATGAAGGCAAAATAACTAATCAGCCCACATTGTGACCATTTGCATCTTCTTTGGCATTGATGGCGTCCCAGAAATGAGCATGCTGGTCACACGCAGGCAGTTTTGATTCAGTTGAATGCAAAGAAGGTGCTCACTCTCAATGTTGGCATACTCATCGACCAACATTGAAAGAGGTTGGCGTACCATAATGTGGTTTCCTCCTCTGTCCATGATCACGAAGGAATATAACATTTTTTAGAGGAGACAGTTTTGTGAGGATGTCTTTGTCCTGCAGCTTTTCAATTGGAGAACTTGACGTGGCACCCATCTTGGCCTTGCGACAGGAAAATGTGTTTTTGTAGGGCATCGTATGCTCAGTTAGTGTCAGGAAATTGTGCGATGGTTTTTTTTTGGTATGGAAGAACAATGTCTCTCAATGTTCCTCACCCACCGTAAGAAAGCAAGGTCAAAAATATTTGGGGCATTGAACCTCCCTGCGTGCTCTCCACTTTGGAAAGTAAGGTTGCGGTACGGCAAAATTTTAATGGGTAATGTTCCCACGAATGTAATAAAACTATAGACGAATTGCAATGGGCTGTAGCTAAAAGTCCAACGTATTTAGCAGTCTAATATATTAATCAGCATCGCAGTACTATAGTGTGATGTGAGCAATCGAAACAATAGAAATGCATTGAAGAAATACGCTGAAATACGTCTACATTAAAGAGCAGCAATACGCACGGGTATGTTGAGAAGCAGGTTACAGTCTAGATTATAGACTGCCAGTACGGCGACTTAATGACATAAGCATTGCTACAGTCTACATAAAAAGCTGGCAATACGATCGGTAGCTGAAAAAGCAGGATACAGTCGACATGAAAGGCTGGCGGTACACAGAGTGAGGTAAAGAAGCAGGCAATAGATTATAGACTGGCATACACTCATAATGGCCAAAAGCAAAATTAGCAGTGTAGATAATAGTGCCAGTGCACCTGACGTTAATAATCAGCAGGCCACAGCACAGACTGGCAGTACACCGTCGCAGCATCATAAAAACACACCTAAAAATAATTAACAACCTAATAATTAAATATTAGTTATCTGCACGCAAGCATTATTGTAGCGTAGTATCTTCTTTGGTTCTTTCGGTAAAGTCACGTAGAATGAGAATAAAATAATAAATTGATAAAATAAAATAACAATAATATTCTCACGACGTTTCGTAGCGTAGTAGTTTCAGTTTATTTATTTGGTATAGCCCTGTGAGCCATTCGGCTCTTGAATCGGGTGCAACCACAACATACTCTTTGGTTCTATTCGGTAAAGTCACGTAGGTAAAGAATAAAACAACAAAAAATCACGACGTTTCGGCCACAACACAAGCGGCCTTCATCAGGTGAAAGGATCAGGCTGTCTCGAGGACAGCGCTGGAGTGGAACACAGCCACGCTCAGACCGCGACCTTTAAGCTGTGTGTGAAGAAAACAAGGTGCCTTGACAAAGGAATTAGCGAAATTAGCTAATTTTTTATGCTAATTCTTTTGTCAAGGCACCTTGTTTTCCTCACACAGCTTAAAGGTCGCGGTCTGAGCGTGGCTGTGTTCCACTCCAGCGCTGTCCTCGAGACAGCCTGATCCCTTCACCTGATGAAGGCCGCTTGTGTTGTGGCCGAAACGTCGTGATTTTTTGTTTTATTTTTTACCTACGTGACTTTACTGAATAGAACCAAAGAGCATGGATCCTTGCAGTCACGAAAGCTTTAAATCTAGAATTGGCAACCACAACAAACAAAAAAACAAAAACACGAGCAAGAAAACATCTTAAAGTGACTGTGACTGTGCAAACAGAAAATCCATGAAAAAAACATCAAAATGTTCCTGAAAAAGCACCGTAGACTAACGCTGTGTGCAAAAATCCCAGTGGGATGCAAATCAAAAAACAACCACAAAAAACTTAGATTAAGGCCATCAGTCTAACTCCATACTACAACAAAACAAATATGTCCAAACCAAAAACGTTTTCGAAATCACCAAAAAATAAAGCCATAATTGCAATGTAACAGTGATGATAGGGACTGTGACCGATTTTTTTACAATAAACTACATAAATAACTTGTAACACCAAACCCTAGAGCCATAGCTGGCTGCATGAGTTACTCCACAACAAAAGAAGCATCAGTCGGAGTATCAAATTGTTTAATGCACCTTTAAGATCAGCACGCTAAATCAAAATACAGATAATACTTTGCAGCGTCAACCGGAGCAAGACATTTTATTTTATTTTACGCCAATGAATAGCAGTGGCAGCTAGGGGTGTACAACTCCTCGAGCAGTTTTGAGTAAATATCTCACAGGTAGTGATCCAAGTTGCAGTTTATTGGCGATAGCATTCGAGACCCTGGGGGCATCAATAGCAAAGGCCCTTCCTCCGGTTTTTGTACGGCAATAGGGAATGTGAAGCTGGTAGATGAGCGAAGACCTGAGGTCAAATTTGTTCTTTGAAACAGAGAGGAGATCCAGCAGGTAGTCTGCGGATTTTTTTGTAAGTACATCGTGAATAAATAAGATCTGGTGCACAAGCCGTCGAACATTAAGATATGTTAAGTTTGACCCTATATAGAGATCACAGTGGTGAGTTCTATATGGGCAGTTCAATGTAAATCTTAAGGCCAATTGATAGATGGAATCAAGCTTCTTCAGTACAGTACATGTGTTGGCTCGGTATGGGGGCTGTAGGCGGGTGTCACGGAGGTCTTGTCAGGCAATGACACTCTGTGTGAATCCAACAGGACACATGACCGGATAAAGGGGGGCCAGGGGCCCCAAGGGGGTCACGTGGTTGGGGGCTCAGGGCTTCCTGAAGGATTGGGAAGGGAGGCGTGGCTTGGGGCGGAGCCGGCCACGCCAGAGTGGTTATAAGTGGGATGTGGATGGAGAGCTAAGCTATTCTGCTGGGTAAACTCTGAGATGAAGGCACCATCTACGATCCTCGGTCTCCGGTCCAGAAATTTTGTATCCCAGTGCGTTAGCCAAGTTAGGAACAGTGGTTACCACCCTATGTCGTTATCCTGTTAATGTTAAGAGTTACCCGTTGTGGTTTAGATCATAAATAGTGTTGCCTCCAAAGCTCCAGTGTGCACCTGAATTTATCCCACTACATTTGGTGTCAGAAGTTGTGGAAATTAGTTGCTAGGTGTTATCCTAGTATAGTGCAATGTGCGCACGAAGACAACGACTTACCTGGATGCCTTCATACGAAGGGGACGGCAGGAAGATCATCCTCGAGACAGCCCTGGGGAGTGCAGCCCTGGTGAAGGAGAGAGATGGCGCTGCAGGCGGGGCGGCGGGATGGATATCACGCTGCTGCTTTGCCGCCATCGAGGGAGAGAAGCGCCGGAGCCGTGGGGAGAGGACGCTGCCGCTGGTGCTCAGGCGGGAAATTCACGTGCTTAGAATGTGGGCCTGGCCACCATTTTGGTGGCCGGTCGGGACGTGGTTCCCGCCAAAATTCTGTTCCCGCCATTTTTCAATACCTGTGGAGGGAGATCTTCGGCCATCTCGGTGGTGCCCCCGTCTTCTGTTCGAGTGCGGGAGGCCGGACCAGTTCACAAGAGGATGCCGTTCTCACCATCCAAGATTCTTCAGGGTGTCGCAAGTCTCCACCTTGCAGTCCTCCGCTCTTCAAGCCTCTCAGGCGAGTCGTGACACGACATACCTGGCCCTTGCAGTCACTTCACCCATCTTGCGTGCGCCGGGTTGCGGTTATGATTGCGTGTTTTAATCGCTGGGTTGCGGAGCGTGTTAATCGGGTTGTGCGAGTGGCGGATGGATGCGGCATCTGTGTGGGTGTCTGCGTTGTAACATTGTTAATTACGGCATTGGGATCGTTTATCTTTGAGGAGGCTGTTTTTTTAGGTCATGGTTGGGTGCCCTGAGCCTGTTAATATCGTGTGGGTTGCCGTGTTAATGGTTCGCATTGTGACATCGTTTTTTGTTGCGGAGTCCCGTTTGTTGATGTACGTACTGCAACATTGTGTGGACTGTAGGAAACTTTGATCGTGATTGTTGATGACTTGTAGACTGGAGCTTCGTCCACGGCGATATGTAGACTGTATGGAGCTTTGCTCATGATTGTTGATTGTGTGCAGACTGTATGGAGCATCGCTCCAAATGGTTGACGATGTACGGACTGCGTATACTGCATATACCGCATTGCACGACATTGTCGATTATTTGGACCATTGTGTATGGTGTTTTGCTCTTGAGTTGGGTGCCTGAGCTCCGTGTAAATCCCGTGGTTGAGGTTGTGGGGGATTTTGGATTGACGGGTTCAGTGTGTTACAAAGTCACTGGATGTTTCCTGTCCGTTGTTGCTCGACAAACGAAAAAAATTGTGCGAGGGTACCCCTTAGATTCTATGTAGATCATGGGTGCATGGGGCTGTGAATTGCCGCCAAATGGCGTCGCTCTCTCCGCTCGATGGCGTGCAGCCAGGGGCTGCGTTGTAAGTTGGAATGTGTCAGTGATGTGTACTCTCAGCTCGGTTGGTACAGCTGATTCCTGCAATGCGAGTCTTGGAGAGAGGCTGGTTTAAATTTCCCCCGATATGGCCGACGCTTGCAACGGGCTGCGGCGATGTGTCGGAAAGGCGGAGGGTGTGAACATGTGACATGTCCGTTGTGGTCTCCAAGGGAGAGCTGCTGAGATGCGATTGCGGGAAAACCACACATGCGGTTCGCATGCGGCTGCCATTTGGTGCGAGCGCGGGAAACCACGGAGATGCGGTTCGCGCATGCGGCCGCCATTTTGTACAAGCACGGGTAGCCTCGGAGATGCGGTTCGCGCATGCGGCCGCCATTTTGTACAAGCACGGGTAGCCTCGGAGATGCGGTTCGTGCGTGTGGCTGCCATTTCTGGGCAAGACCAGGTAGATTTTTTTTGTCAAGTGGCTTTTATATGTATGTTTTTAAATTTAGATACTGGGGCAACCCTGAAGCATGACTTCCTTGACCAGGGATATTGTAAAATGTCCAAAATTGTACATTGGGGTGCAGCATACTGGCTCGACCTTGAAGCGTGACTTCTTTGAGCCAGTACATGTGTCGACCCTGAAGTACTACTTCTCGACCCGGGATGTAGAAATGTTAGACGTCCAGAATGTTAATTGGTGTGTGTAGATGGGTGCTAGACATGTCAGTCTTCGCCTTCTCACCACCTGAGGGATGGGACGGTAGCAGGGTGGTTTGGGACCCTGCCATCCATGTGGTGTTGGTGTGTGATTTTGGTTTGAATACCGGTGTTGGTTGTGCATCCAACTCGTCGGGATCTGTGTATTTTTGTTTTTCCCGCCAGGCGGAATACAATCATTTCTAAATTTAAAGCTTTCGTGACTGCAAGGATCCATACTCTTTGGTTCTATTCGGTAAAGTCACGTAAAAAAAATCACGACGTTTCGGACACAACACAAGTGGCCTTCATCAGGTGAAGGGAGTAGACTGTCTCGAGGACAGCGCTGGAGTGAACACAGCCAAGCTCAGACCGCGACCTTTAAGCTGTGTGAGAGGAAGCAGAGCGCCTTGACAAAGAAATTAGCATAAAAATTAGCATTTAATTGGTGGACTTAGCATGATGAACGATGTATAGGGGGGAAGCAAGTACAGAAACAACCACTTGATACTGCGGTCAAAACCATCACACTACCATATATAGCAGGCGTTACTAAACAGATTTCCAATATTCTAAACAAACACAAGATCCAGGTCCGGTTCAATACAGTACACAAAATCCGTGACCTGATCCCTTCCGTGAAGGATGTCATTCCTGACTTACAGTACCCAGGAGTTTACAAATTGATCTGCACCTGTGGTGACTGCTATATCGGGGAGACGAAACGACATGTCTCTGACCGAATTCGCGAGCACAAATCAGATTTGAAACACGGCAGAACGAATTCTTCTGCCATAGCTGATCACTATTACAACACTGTGGGTGATCACGATATAATTTTCTCCGGTACCAAGGTTCTTTGCAAACTCACGGGTTTTTATCAGAGATTTATTCACGAGGCAATTCAGATTCACAAACACAGACACAATTTCAACCGAGAGGATGGTTTCAAATTAAGCAACCATTGGAAAGATGTTCTGAATCAAACCAAACATTAAACTAATTTTCGATGTTACAGTATATTTTTTCAAGTAG